ATCGGGGTCCCCAACTATTGTTGTCAAAAAAAGAAGAAATATAACAACGAAAAAATAGGGACAGAACAAAAATCAAGAAAAACCACGGCACACAAACCACAAACACATTCACACCTGTGGTCAGCCGAATAGCACACTATGAAAAATATATATCCGCACATTCAACAGTTATTGTGCGAAATTCAAAATAAAATGAAATACTTCACATTTTCTAAATAATTTTAAACATTTGTGTACACAAAGAAAAAAATGTTGATGAAGTGATAGAGCGTCAGTATTTTCCATGTCAAATTCAAATCTATATTCGATTATCACATTTTTCTGTCTGTATATTGTACCGCAGAAATATCTCACGGTTTACTATTTAGCACCAAGATACTTTGGGTTAGCGAAGTTAATTTGCACTGCAATTAACTACGAAAAATCATGAACTAATTTATAAGCATTTAACAATCTGTTTTAACAGCCTATATTGTAAAATAATTTGGAGTATTTTAGACAAATCAAAAACAAAGTTTTTTATTTATACCTACAATAATATCCATTTTCCCCTTGGCAATATATTTTTGACCACCACCGTGCGGCCACACGTAAATAGGTAATAGGGCTAATGCACAGTGGGAAATACAAATGCGATCCAATTTGAATATGACAGCATTACTGGGGCTAAATATAGAATTTACTACTCCCGATTAATTCGCCTCCTGATTTACGCTCCGCTTTGCCACACAATATTTTTGGGCATTAAGTGATTCGAAATTATTTGGTATTGCCGGGCAGTGATAAGTCCACCAATAATTGATAACGATTCGCCGCGAAGATGGATGATGACGTTCATAGCGAAAAATATAGAAATTGCGGCAATTTCTTGCCCATTTGCCCATGGGAATTTGTTGAGAGCATTATAGTTTTTACGGGTTATTATAAATCTAGTATACATGAACATTTAAAGATCCCGTAGAATGTTCGAGCTTGGGAACACAAATCTTTGCCCTTTCCCCATTTCCGTTACAATTTCAAACAAAACTAATACACAATTGGCATAGTTCCCAATGAAATTGACAGTATTCAAATTGACATACTAAAATAAATAGAGAAATTTTTCCGACAAATATATGTATAATGCTTTCGTGTACAAAAATGAAATTAAAAGTAAACATCACAAATACTTTCAAGTTTAAAAACAAAATATTTGGAATTTAGATACTTTTTTTAAAACATTCTTGAAATTTTTGGGTTAGATGAAAATTATTTGAAAAGTTATTAGTTAGTTATTATTTTTTCCTAGGCTAACACAATTTCTTTTGTGCAATCGACGGAATGCAAATGACAAATGCCGACATTTTTTATTCAATAAATCGAACAAAACGAAACGAAACCAGATTGTTCATTAATCTTTGTCTGGGCATATGTATTCACTGCATACCTTGTGGCCTCATAATCGGAATATCTATTGTTCTAGCTCATTTTTTGTTTAGCCTAAAAGTTAATAATAATTTCCACTGTTCCGCTGCACAGAAGCGGCAACAACAATTACACACGCACTGCTGGCCAGCGGCACAATTACCGTTGCTGGCATTACAACAATGTGACAATGGGCCTGTCCCGTCTGCCTATGGTAATAATTATGACTATGAATGTGATTATGATTATGACTGGGACTGCGGCTGAGACGATGACGATGATGATGATGATGATGAGCAGCACGCTGTATGCATGTCAAGTGTGCCGTGGGTACCGGAAAATCAATTGACTGAGTGACAGGCGGACAGTTCGGGATGTACTTTCACAATGGCTATAGATATAAGCAAGGCCCACCGGCCGATCGAATTACTAAAAAAAAATATATAAGAGAAAAAAAACGGAATCATGTCGAGGTCAGCTGTTCAATCAGCCTCCTTTCGTTGGTTCTACAGAGAGAAAAAGGTGAGACAAGATTCATTTGACATTCGTGTTCAACTAAGATATTTAAATTTCTGCACATGAAACGGTCACACCGACCCTAATTTAAAAAAGTAGCAAGAACATGCTTATACAGTCATAAATGTTCCGCCTACAATTTTCATATTAATTTTCAAAACAGCCAACAAATGAACCATTTTTTAAATGATTGTTTTTTTGTTGAACGGTCACACTGCATTCAAACTTCTGATCATTTATATGGAACAGTATTGTATTTTTCCCGTGTAACTGGATAATCGATTAGAAGAATGAACAGCCCCAAGATTGCCGGTTTTTCCATTCTTCACTCTGAGTTCTCTTCCCTTGTTCTGTCTTTCTTTTCTTTGCGACTCTGACTAACTGTAAAGAAAGAAAGTTCTACAGCAAGTGGCGAGCTCAAAGCTGATGACATCACGCTCCACCGGCAAATTAATGCTCCCCACATATTGTACAATAAAAAAAAAGAAACACGCATGTGGAGAGACTGGCGATGGCGAACAAAAAGGTCACAACATGTGTTAAGTCTAATCTCTCCGAAAATGGAATATGCCACCTAGACGAAAGACAAGAAGACAGAGTAAAACAAATTGTCAGCAAATTTGATTTGATGCCCGTTTGACAGCAGTCACAAAAAAAAGAAAAGAAACCTTCCAAAAATGACTAGTCAGCTGGTGCTATATTTCAAATGCTAAAAAATAATAATACCAAATAACAATTACACTTCAAAGACTAGTTCTGGAAAATAGTTTCTTTCTTTTTAAGCATTAAACTAAAGTAGGTCCAAAGGCCTGTTGTCTAATTGACTTTTGGAAATTTTTTACAATTTTTAAAGTAACCTATTATATTTAAAATGTAACTAAAATAATATTAATAAGAACAAATGATCGAATTGCACCCGGTAATGATGAATTCGATTAATTTGGGCGTAGGCTATCGCGTTCGTTGCAGCTCTATCACAGTAATCGATTGTCAAGCTCTGTGTGTTATCGTCGACTAGACTTCCAACTAGAACAAATTTAAAGCGCTCGATTCGAATTTCGTGGGTGCGGCACATCCATTAGATACGCGTGTTCAGATACAGATACACAAAATGCAGCCGAAAAAGATGTGGGTCAACAACCACCGAATGAAGTTGACCCACTTATATATATTGCTTTAAAATGCACATACACACACACGCACACTGGCGCGCACATGGTCATTATGTAATAAAAACGATGACGATGTTTAACGGTATTCCAGTTAGAACGACTGCAGCGCCGGCGCATTAAAAACTCCAATTGGAGTTCCCTCTTCGGTGGTGGGAAATGCGAAAAGAAGCAGAAGCAGTGAAGAGAGGAGGAAAAACCCAAACAAACAAGCCCATCCTCCAATTGGACTGATAACAGGGCTCAGAAGGCAGAGGAAACAAAAGGAAGAGAGAGGACAAACAAAAATACAGTGGCAGCTCGCCAATTGGAATCCTTTTTGGCGGTTTTTTAAGGGATTCATTTCACTACATGTGAATCAAAGTAATTATTTTATTTTTTCAATTGAAAAATATTTTAAACTTATTTAAAATCAAAATATGTTTAAAAAAACCAAAAAATATTTTATGGATATTAAGATTATCTAAATCTAAATAAAATGTATGTGCTTATGTATTAAACCCCTATATCATTCACTTGTTAACCCAACTGAGCTTATCCCCTTCTCGTAATTGTTTTCAATTATTTGAACGAAGATATCGTTAACAATTTTTAATGCGCGAAAAGAACCAAGAAACATTTAATGAGCCGCTTCTCACGCAACAAGAAACAAAGTTGCAATGTCTTTTTAATTGTTTCCGCTATTATTTGGCTTTACGATTTAATTCAAGGTATATATGTACATATGTATACCCTTCTCCGATTGGCAATAAAAACCCTGATGTCCATCAGCTGAATGACCACTGTACTTGGGGTTAAAGCAAGCAAAGTTTGTAAACCAAACTGCTGACGGTGAGCGGTAATTATCGATTCAAAAATTTGTGTGTCTCAAGCTTCCTGCCTTTGGGGGAGGTTGTGGGTTACAAAAAAGCGCGGGGTTTACGGGGCTTACGGGTTTTAGGGTTGGGTGATGAGCACCACAGAGTTCATCGCTTGCTATTTGGGTTGATGGAAAATGGGGGAAAACACAGCTGCATTTTTGCTCAAAGGCTTTGGCTTAGGCTTGGGCTTGGGAAAAGAGATCAGTTATGGATTGGCCCAAAAAGTCGGGCCAACTAACTACGAATCAGAAGAGCGAAACAAAAGTGAAAGCTGCCAAAAAGTCATTAGACGGATGTTTTAATGAGGTAAAAGTAGGCCCAATTCGGGGCACACACAATCGCACAATCACAAAAGCCCTTCAACAAATTGTTACACATGATTACAACATTTAGCCAGGAACCTTTGGAGAACATGTATTATTAATTAGGGATTTAGCCATAAATTCCAATAACTTTTCTAAAAAAAATTAAGACCTTAAATTCTTATTTCTTGTTCGCTTGAAAAATATTTTACAAGTGCACTTTAGGGATTTCTATGTACATACTCGTATGATTAGCTTTTTAAAGATAACTGATAAGTGCTTTCCACGAATTTATTTATATAAATTTTGAAGTAAGATAAAGAGGATTAAATTATTTTTAAAGCCTTTATTTGAATACCTGTATAATTTATCTCTTAAGAATATACTTCCTAATATGTTGAAAAATTCGTCATTTGTCACATTTTTAAGCATGAAACCCTATTTTGTATTTAGAGAACCACATCTGTATTTGGTTATGCTATTGTGTATCTAATTGGTCAGAGTAAATTAGTTGGTCATTTGTTAAAAGATTTGGCTTTATGAAAGCAGGTCTTTGTTAGATTCTAGAGAAAGAGATCCCTATATGGTTTATACTTTATAGGTATTTATATTTTCTATAATGCCAATTTTAGTAAAACTAGTTCCCAATATATTATAGCGTATAATAGTTCTAACATAAATTTCACAATTTTCTCGGTATAAACTACCTCTATTTTGGCTAGTTATATTACGAAAAGCGATCTACTTACTCCTCCTGCACCTCAATGCCGCTGTCATCCATGTTCCCCTTGGCATAGTCTCCACTGTAGCCGCCGGGTAGCGGCAGATTCGACGGCAGCGTCGACGCCAGCTGCGGCTGACCAGCGGCGGCAGCGGCGGATTCGGCGGCCGAATCTGCTGCGGCATCGAACCCAAACGTGGACTCCATGTGCTCCGACAGCGGCGTCGGCGTCTCGAAGACGAGCGTCTCCACCATCGAACCCTTCGAGGACCCAAAAGAGACGCTGCGGAAATGAGAAGATCTAAGGTCAAATGGTTGCGCTTAAAGGTTCGATTCCCTAACTCAAGATATTTTTGAATTTTGTAGGTTTTTTAAATTGGTTAGCCTTATATCATTTTCTTTGAACTGAATAAATAATATAATTTATGTGTCTGAGTATTTAAGATTTAAATGCAAAAAATTTAAATGCAAAAATTAGTCAAAACACTGATTTTCAAAAGGGGAACTCTACAATAAACCAAAATTCTAAACTAATTCTGTTTCCCCTTGGATAAATAATCGAAAAGTAATCCTTTTTAATACCCTTCAAGAAATTTAGCCCAAGTTTAAACCGTTCAATCAACTTGCGTTAAAGTGATAATCAAGATACCTTGCTAAAGGTATTATTTTTTTGAAATATGAGTTTGCCACGTTTTTTTATACCTAACGTGTTTTGCTATGAAGAGATATTATGGAAGTTAAGATATTGAAGAATCTGCAAATTATTTTACAGCATAATTGTCAAACCTAAAGTCGTGTTAAAAATGCGAACTCTATTAAAGTTGTCAATTAATCATATTGAGATTATTTAAGAATAACAGGAATTTTAGGCATTTGTAAAAGGCTTCCGGACTAAAAAATATCAACGTTATAAAAAGATGCATTTTACAGCATAAATTCGCATACTTTAAATATTTTAGATGCAATATTATCTGTAACAATTAAAACTTATAGGCTTCCGTTTTTGAATTACTATATGCAAAATCGAATGGATCTGCATATATATTATATTATAATATACTAATAGATTTATAAATATAATATTAGCTTTATAAATATAACAATTAATATATTATATAGTAATTTATTATATTTTCAATGAATATTTAGGTTTTTACCGTTTGAGGCCGACGCTTTTGGTGCCCAGTTTGCTCAGTTTGCCGGGTTTCTTTTGGGGGCGTGGGAATTTATCGCTCAGATCGCTGGACAAATCCTCTTCATCAGCTGTTGTTGTTGTTGTTGTTGCTGGTTCGATATCCCCAGCTGTTGCTGTTGTTGTTTCTGCCGCTGCTGTTGCTTCCGCCGCATTGTTGTTGTTGCTACTGCTGCTGCTGGCCTCGTTGTTTTTGCATTTGCTGTTATTTTTATTATTCTTATTATTAGCCATGTTTTTAGCACTGACCACAAGCAAGGCGTTATTGTTGTTGTTCGCAATGTTGTTGTTTTGTTGCGTCGTCGCCGATGTTGTTGTTGTGTGCACCAGTGGCAGCGACGTCGGCGGCGGCAGCGACAGCGGCAGAGGCGGCGACTGCGGCGCAACAACAACAATCTCTTCGCTTAGCAAGAGCGTTCGCTCATCGCAGTCGCCAGCGGCGGCAGCGACGTCGGCAGCGGCAGCGACGCCGGCAGAGCCATTTGACAGCATTGCGGTTGCAGAAAAACGATTCGATTTCGATTTCGCGGCTAACGGGGCATTTCGAGGGGGCGGCGGCGGCGTGGTGGGCGGGGCCAGGGCCAGCATAGGTAAGTGTATGGGTGCACCCACACGCGCACACACAAACAATCGCACTTAATTAAATCGGAATTTGTGTGTGCGAAAAAAAAAAACAAAACAAAAAAGTAACACAAACACACAAATTTATATATCTATTTTTTTTAACACATTAACGCAGCACCGCAAAACGGTAATAGCGAGCAGCGACGTCGACTGCGGCAGCGGCAGAGGCGGCGACGACGCGTCGGTGACCTGCACTTTATATCCCCGCACCCCCGCTCTTCTACCACCTCTGCTTCTTCTTCCGGGCCGAAAACTCGCGTTTATAAATAAATACGCAAGTGCATTTAATAAATCCGATGGCGCGCGCTCTGTTGCTCCTTTTTGGCTTTGGCGAATCGGATCTCGGATGTCGGCTCTCGGAGCGATACAATCGGAACAAGGAACAGTCGTGTGTATATTTGGCAGCGCTGCGAGTTTCTGTTCTTTTTTGTGTTTTATCATCCGATGATTTCCTCTTGGTCGCGACAACTGCCGCTTTGGATACTGGTTTTATTTCGGTATTTCTGTTCTTCAGTCGCGTTCTGCGGAGCAGGGATGGGAAAAGTTATCACAACATATATCGATGTTTTTGGAGCTCTGGGAGTCATCGATGTGGTGGCGACTATCGGCGTTTCCCCCCTCATTGAAATGATAAAATACCAGGGGGATTCCCTAAACTGTTGAATTGCTGAATTGTTGAAATTTCAGCAATTTTGTTGAATTATCACCAGTACGCATTATTTTTTTTAAAATCAACTTAGAAAGCATGTTTGTGGTTCTTTTTACCTTGGTAACACTTTTAGACAGTAACTAGCAATAATAAATCAAATTTTACATGCATTAAGTTCTGTGAAATTTTTCAACAAATAACAGCTGTTTAAAAATTCAACAGGAACCATTTTGGGTCGTTCCCTTAATTGCTGAAATTTTTTGTTGAATTTTCAACAATTCAACAGTTTAGGGAATCCCCCTAATGAAAATGGTAGGGACACGGAAATCATAATAAATATTTACAAAGTATCGCATAAATTCGTGATAAGAAATAAACTTCCAAAAATCTTAATTTCGAATAATTTGGTCAATATTGGAGACAAGACCGATTTTTTTTTTAAACAAAAGTTGTAGATTAATATATATTTCATGTTTTCTACGTTTTTGGTGTTAAATTGATTTGTTTCTAGAAAAATAGGCAAAATAGAGCGGCTAAAGTTTCAAGGTTTCAGCTTTGGTACCCAGAGGCAGTTAGCTAAAAAATATATATATATTTTTTGTGTAGATATTTATAAAAATATATCCTAATAGAACAAGTAATATAATATTTAATGTTAGCCGGTTCAAGTGTATAAAATCCATTGTCACTGCCATCACTGTCGTACTGCACTGCCCTATCGATAGTCTATCGATAACCGCCCCTCGCAAGTTGTACCATCTCTATAGAGATGAGCAAAATTGCAATTTTCCTAAAATTCGCAGGGGAAAACCACAAATAATCAGCAACGAAACGAAATAAATGCGAGATAGAGCCGCGATTTGCAACAAATGAATCGCGGCGACTGAAAGCGCGAAAAACCCGCCGAGGAAAAGTCGCCAGAGCGAGGGAAATCGCTCATCTCTATTACAAATACGAAAATGAAATTGCGTGCATTCTAAATGGTAAGTTAAAAACGCCCAACAAACGGTTAGTAATATTGCGATTCGGCCTCGCCGATTTAGTGACTATAACTAAGTGCAATATTTTTCATTTGTGGTAAATGAAAATAACAAACATTCCACAACGTTTGCAGCAACAACAACAATCAAAATAAGACCCGTACTCACACAAACGCACATACAAATGCGCAAATGTTTTTCTCTATTTTCTTGTGACTTTTGTTGTTTTTTTTTTGTATTTTTGGAACAAATAAAATGCAACAATTACACGCTTTAATGGTTTTATAAACAACCATAAAGTGCAAATCAATTTCGTGCAAAACCAAAACACACCCAATTTTTCCCTTGTGCATGTGCGTGTGTGTTTGTAAGAATCCTTTTACAGTGCGCGACATAACAACAAGTGCAAAAATCTATAAATAAGTGAATTTAATTTGTTTATAGTTTTTCTTTGACATGACTGACATTATAAATTACTGGGCCTGCAGAAATAGAACAGAAAAATATATTGCCGGTTCGGCAATACCGGTTAGCCCGGTTAAGACAATGCAAAAAAAAGAAAAAAGGTTCAAGAACCACAACCACTTTGGAACCACAAAACCCTAGCCCACAATTAATTGCAGTTGAAATTACGTTAAAAAAAATACCACTGCGGTTACCTGTTTTAAACTGGGGTATCACAAAAAAAATTCTTTTAAAGTCTGCGCTTACTCTAAAATAAACCTGTAATGTTGTAGAATATCTTTATAATATTTTAACTCTATTGAAAAAGTCTTTGTAAAAGATCTTTATACCAACATATATTATTATATTATTTTATATTATACTAACATATAGGTGATGGTGCCTTAAAACCTCCTAAAAAAATAAACATTTGTTTTGTACTGATTTAAAGTTTCTAAAATAATAACTATTCCTTTAAAATTATAAAATGTTATTCTTGATGCCAAATATAAATTTTAAGATTTTTTTTGGCAATATACAAAGGAAGAAGTCATTTTTCTTAAAATTGAAAAAAAAACCATAAACCAAATTAAAAAGTGTATCGATTACCATCTATATTTTTCTTAACTATTTCCTTTTAAAGTTACGATAACTTGGGTTTTTTACAAATAATTTTTTTAAGTTTTCGCAAAACAATAATCAAACTGCCTTCCTATTTCAGCCACATGGGAACCATGACCAAGGACTACGACTATCTGCTGAAGGTTCTGCTGGTGGGCGACAGCGATGTGGGCAAGCACGAGATCCTCTCGAACCTGGAGGATCCCTCCACGGAGAGCCCCTTTTGCAGCGGGAACGGTAAGTGCTGGCTACTCACCATCGATGCGACAACCGATCTGCAATCCAATCTAATAGACTGCACATCTCATATCCTCCAAACGGTAGCCTACAAGACCACCACCATCCTGCTGGAGGGCAAGCGGGTGAAGCTGCAGCTGTGGGACACCTCCGGCCAGGGACGCTTCTGCACGATCATACGCTCCTATTCGCGCGGCGCCCAGGGCATCATCCTCGTCTACGACATCACCAACAAGTGGAGCTTCGACGGGATCGATCGCTGGCTCAAGGAGGTCGACGAGGTCAGTGGGGGATCTACTGAAAAGAAAGATTATGGCAAGGATATTTATTTACAGGGCAGTTCAGTTCAAAAGTTTTGTGTACATTTCATAATTATGCTTCAAGGAAAAATTAAAATTTTAATAATGATTTAAAAAATAACGTCTTTAGGCGTAACTATTTATATTATCTTAAAAGTAACAAATCTATAATGCATTTTGAAGGTTTTTTTTAGTTAAAAAAAAAAAACTAAAGGGTCGCACTCCTTAAAAAAATAATATAATTCAAGTAAAATATTTACATTCCACAGATTTTGCATAAATTATACAAAAGAAGTTTCCTTTACTTACCTTTTAATACAATACTTATTAATCCAATGCATTTTCAGCACGCCCCTGGCATCCCGAAGGTGCTTGTGGGGAATCGCCTGCATTTGGCCTTCAAGCGACAGGTGGCGGCCAAACAGGCCGAGACCTACGCCAGCCGCAACAATATGTCCTGCTTCGAGATATCGCCCCTGTGCGACTTCAACATCCGCGAGTCCTTTTGCGAGCTGGCACGGATGGCGCTGCATCGCAATGGCATGGAGCACATCTGGCGCAGCAATAAGGGTAATTAAAACTAATAGAAAAATGTAAAATAATACGTTTGGTAAGAATTCGGAGCTATCAAATTTGAGGAACATCTTACCTTGTTAAAAGTGCTTTCATCTTATATAGAATATTTATACCCGTTACTCGTAGAGTGAAAGGGTATATTGTATTCGTGCAAAAGTATGTAACAGCTAGAAGGAAGCGTTTCCGACCCCATAAAGTATATATATTCTTGATCAGGGTCACTAGCCATGTCCGTCTGTCTGTCCGTTTGTCTGTCTGTCCGTATGAACGCTGAGATCTCAGAAACTACAAAAGCTAAAAGGTTGAGATTTTCCACACATATTCTTGGGCTTCCTACGCAGTGCAAGTTTATTTCAGCCGAGTGCCACGCCCCCTCTAACGCCCACAATCGCCCACTAACGATTTTAAAATGTGTCTGGCGGCCACACCTTTAAAGATTTCAAAGAAGTATAAATGGAATTTTGTTGTGTATACCTATCGAAATGTGGAAGACATTTTTCAAATCGGAGCATTCATTAAAAAGTTATACGCAATCAAAAAAATGTTATATATCCATCTCCCTCGCACTCCCTTTAGCCGAGTGACGGGTATTAGATAGTCGGGACACGAACCCGACTATAGCGTTCTCTCTTGTTTTAAATGATATTTTAATGTTGGCCCTGAGCATTAAATAAATCGAAGCCCTTTTTATCAAAAGATTCTAATAATTTTAATTTTCTCTGTCGCAACTCACAATTATTATAATCTAAGCCGCCAATTTTTAATTGGTTTAAGTCAGATAAAAGTTAAATAACTTTTTTTTATTCACCGAGCTATAAAGCTATTTTTAGTAAAATTGTGAAAGAAGACTATTAGCGTTGGATTTTTTAATTACTTACTTCAGGTCAGTTTTGATTAAGTTCCAATTAAAACGTTTATTATGTCAATTCAATCATTAATCTTTATTTGACAGTGGATAATAAATTTAAACGCTTTTTAAGGCGGGCGCTTGTAAATGTGCTTTGAAAATGTCTGATCATTAAATGGGTTATATTTACAGCAATCAAGAAATAGTTTTAATTAAAAGGATTTATTGTAAGATTCAGATTGGGGACTCAAAGTATAAAGTATTTTAAATTCATACCAACTTGTTATTAAAGATTAGCTAAAGAATTATGGTTAACCAATTAATGGAGATATATTTAAACAGATTTTTAACGAAATGTACACTTGACCACCTTGTAAACATTCCACCTACTCGTTAATGACATTTATTAACCCGATTTCAATCCCCTTTGCAGTGCTGACGCTGCAGGAGCTGTGCTGCAGGACGATCGTGCGGAGGACGAGCGTGTACGCGATCGATTCGCTGCCGTTGCCGCCGTCGGTGAAGTCGACGCTCAAGTCATACGCGCTGACCACCTCGCAGTGCTTCAACTCACTGACCCAGAGCTCAAAGAGCAAGAACCGCTGCAAGACGCCGACGAGCGGCAGCCGGAATAGCTGTGCGATCGCGTGATCGTTGCCTTGTAGGCCGCCGCCCAGCTGCCTACGCCGCCACGCCCCCCAACCGACATTAACTTTAATTGAGCTCTACTTATGTACTATAGGCTAACACACACACCACACACCACACACACACACACACTACACACTCACCCACATGGTTATTATCTTATTTGTTTCATCGACATTGATATTTGTGGCCAACAATGTTTACTTTTTACACAGTAAAGCTTACATTAATTTAATTATTAACCCCCGTCCCATTTTCCCCATTCCCTCTCTTCTCTCTTTTGCATTACTCTAATGTTGTTAATATTATTATGTTTGTATAATTATAATATTTAAAGCATCAAACACATCAACATAACAAAAAAAAGAAAAAAACAACAGCAAGTGAAAATCAATTTTTATATGCATAAAAAAATTTTTTTTTGTTTGGTTACCATCGGTTTAAAATATTCTTAGAGATGTATTGTAATTGAAGCGAATTCAGCAAGAGAAGCGCACACAAAGGCGAATTGATAAAGATAATTCATAATGAACTAGAGAACTGTGTTTTTATTTAATCATTGCCCATCCCTTTCTAATTCCTGCCTCCCTGAATCTATCTCTTTCTATTTAGATTAATTTGTGGTAATTTAAAGTGAAAGTATGTTGCATCGCTACCGGTTATACAATTATTAAATTTGTTTTAAAATGTATATATAAAGTTAAGTATTTAAAAACTTAATTAGAAATATTTAACGTGCCCTTAAAAAATAATTTGTTGTTGTGAGATTTGTAAGGTATAAATAACATTCTTAGGTTTTCACATAAAAAAAATATTTCGTAAGACGATAATTCCACTTAACCAAACCGAAAACTCTGATATCTTCTCGTTTCAACCAAATATTTAATTAAAGAAATGTATACCCATACCCTAGAGTCCATGAGTTCGGGGATATAGGCCATAATATAAGATCCCTCATCAGATGCTTAACGAACTGAATTAATATTTTAATAGTCTTGGGATAAACACAAAATATCTACTCTTTGATTGTCCAATTTATTTTAATCTCCCAGGATCTCTATAAAATATTTCTTGAAAGTGGTTAGGATCTTTAAAAAATGTCTGTCTATAAAGAATTTAATACTGAGAAACTAAGAAACACAAACTTTGCTAAATTAATTTAAGATTAAGTTATTAAGAAGGTTTTTAGATAGACCCTTGGGATCTTAGGATTCTGTCTTATATTATGTATTTTCTTGTAACTACATTTTTTGATTTCATCTCAAGAGTATTCAAATCTTCGGCATCTGGATTCTTCTGGTGCCCGATCGATTTGCTTCGTTTTCAACATCTGCTCGGGGTTGTCCCTTGTCGGATGTGATTAATCGGTCCGCTGCAAACCCAATTTGATATTGTAATATTATTTAAATGATTCAAATTGCCTTTCCTTTGGTTCGCTTTGCCTCGCGTTGGATCGCCCTTTGAGCCAAAACATTTCGCGGCTTCTTTTTCGACATCTATTTCTTCCCCCGATTTCGGTTATTTGGCCTTTTGGCTTTACACAATTCCCGAGTTGGGCAATCGATGGGGGCGGGGCTCTCGGGGGCAAGGGAATCGTTATACTTTTAACTCTTTTTTTTTAATTTTGAAATGGAACAGCTGGTGCGAACTTATAGCGAAATTATTGCATTCATTTGCATTTGCTTTGATTAACTTTTTATCGGATCTTTCTTTTTTGAGTGTTTCGATGTTATAGTTATGGTCAGATAATACAAAACAGGTGACTTATGTTAGTTTGTTATATCAAAATGAAATGTACTTTTTAAATATTGATACAATATCTTTAAACAACAGGTTCTTTTAATTTGATTTTTAAGTGTTTATTTAATATTAAGTAATATTACCAATATTTCTGATCATCACATTAGTTCTTATAAGTAAAATAATTTATAAATTTTAATAATTAAGTATTTCACTATTTTTGTCATCTTATTTGTAGTAGTTTAAAATGTTATTTCTTAATCATAACATTAATAGCTTAGTTTATAAAGTAGGTGTACTTTTAAAGAGTAAAAGCTTTTATGATTCATATTTAACTTGCATATTTTAGAAAATTTTAAAAATATCTTATTTTTAGTTTAAAATAAATGTTATAAATATTTTCGAAATTTGAATAAGTACGTTAATCACCATTTGCCAATGATAATTTTCCCATTTAATTTAATGACCTCTTGTTTTTCTAGAAAATGCACCGCTTGGATCTTGGGAAAGTGGTAATCCCATCCGATCCGACCTGAACTGAACTGACCTAACCCATCGATCGACGGGGGGCGGGGCCACCGTCATTAGGCGGTTCGTTCATGCCCGGCGGATTAATTTCGACGGCTGGTCCAATTATGGAACTGCTTTTTCACATATTTTTTTCCACCGGACTCATTTGCATTTGCCAGCCGTCTTCGTCGACGATGCGTTTTTGTTTTTGGACCGCCTCGTCTCCAGATGGGATGGACGGAGTTTTTGGCTTTGGCTTTGGCCGTTGGTGGGCAGGTCGATGACGAAAGCAAGTTCGGAGATTCAGAGATGGAGCATCGCGCAATCCGGCTGCTATAAAAGCTGCGGCCCTCTTGGAGTGGATCATCAGTTGGCTTCCAGCTTCCTCATCTGCTACGTGAAGTTCCCCAGTTTTCAACCCCCAAGCAAGAAACTTCCAGCAATGAAGGTGAGTCTTTTATACACAGTGAACAATTAAGGAATATCCTATCTACAAAGGCATAAAATCCAAATAAAAAATTTATTTTATTAAAAGAAGTGAAAAGTAAAGAAAATCATCAATTTAAATATCATAATAAATAAATAGTTTTTTTTAATATATCAAAATTTAATGAAATATATCTAAATATACAAAATAAATCATTTAATAATATGTTAAAATATTGGGAAAAAAATATATAATTCTAATATATCAAAAATTCAATAAATTACAGACAAAAAAATTAAATTTGTAAAATCAACGTTTTAAAAATATTTCATAAAAATATTAGCTTTTTTAAAAATCCTTTTTAGTATCAAATTATCTTTTTAAATTACAAAAAATTCAAATTATATTTTAAATATATATTTAAGGATATTTTATCACTCTGTAAACATAGCTCATCGTTTTAATTAATTCATTTTGATTTTTACCAACAGATCTTTGTGTGTCTCCTGGCTGCTTTGGTTGCCACCTCATCGGCTGGCTTCATCGGTGGATCCGGCGGTGGTGGTGGTGGCGGTGGCTACAGCTATGGAATCGGTTCTGGAGGAGGCGGCGGCGGCGGTGGTGGCCACCAGGAGGTGAAGACCATCCAGGTCATCCACCAGGAGGGTGGCGGCTACTCCGGCGGTGGTCATGGCGGCTACTCCGGCGGTGGCCACCAGGAGATCAAGACCGTCAAGGTCATCCACCAGGAAGGTGGTGGCTACTCGGGCGGCGGTCATGGTGGCTACTCGGGCGGTCACGGCGGCTACTCCGGCGGTGGCCATCAGGAGGTGAAGACCGTGAAGGTTATCCATGAGGAGGGTCACGCTCTGGGCGGCGGTGGCGGCTATGCCGGTGGCTTCTCCGGTCATGGACATGGACACGGTGGCCACCAGGAGGTCAAGCTGGTCAAGGTCATCCACGAGGAGGGCGGTCACGGCGGTCACGGCGGTCACGGCGGTCACGGACATGGCGGTGGATACTCGCATGGCGGATTTTCGGGCGGTCACCAGGAGGTTAAGACTGTGAAGGTGATCCACCAGGAAGCTGGCGGTCATGGTGGCTACTCTGGCGGCGGACATGGTGGATACTCCGGTGGTCATGGAGGCTACTCCGCGGGTGGTCATCAGGAGATCAAGACCGTGAAGGTCATCCATGAGGAGGGACACGCTCTGGGCGGCGGCGGCGGCTATGCCGGTGGCTTCTCCGGTCATGGACATGGACACGGTGGCCATCAGGAGGTTAAGACCATCAAGGTCATTCACGAGGAGGGCGGTCACAGCCACGGCGGTCACGATCACGGCCATGGCGGCGGTTTCGAGGAGGTCAAGACCATCAAGGTCATTCACGAGGAGGGCGGACACGGACACGGACACGCCCACGGCCATGGACCCGCCCCCATCAGCATCAGCAACGAGTACCTGCCGCCCAGCAACGAGTACCTTCCCCCAATTTCCGCTCCACAGCCCGGCTATCTGCCACCCTCCTCCAGCTGGAAGTGATTTCGATTCGATTCGATTCGAGCCATACTGATCCTTGAGTCTTGTTAAGTAGTTTTAAGCCTCCTTTTTTTTGTACCAACCCATATTTTTTTACTGTTGTACCCATCTTACTTCACCTGTTGAACGAAAATATACCATCTGTAAATTATAAAACTTGGAGAGTTTTTTTGGTATTCGAAAAAGGGTAACGAAAATGTAAATAGGAATACAGTATATATGGGAAAAATAATTTTTTATTTTTAAGGATTTTTGTAGACAAACTAATTGGAATGATCTGGCTATAAAGTTAATCAATCTCTTTTCTATCAGTACAAATTAACGGATCGCCGTCTATTTTCCATGATATCTAAAACTTAATTTAAAATTGCCTTTGCTATTCTAATTCCCCTGCATTCACGGTTCGCCGGGCTGCGTGAATTAGCATTTTATTCATTTCCATTCAGATTCAGCTGGTTAACAACCACTTTCGATTCGCGCTTCAATTTCACTTTCAACCCAATCGAACCGATCGACCGACATTACCATAATCATAGTCGTCCAATTTAGCGGTAGCTCAACGACCTGTTCATCGCCGGGTTTATGTTTATGTGCATCGTGGGGATATTTCTCGTATCTAATGGATTTATTTTATCTTTTGGTTTATTTTTAAGTTTAGAAATGTGTTTTGTGTCATGTGGATCGTGTTGTAGTGTCTTAAGGTTCATGTTGTGCTTTATGCGTTAGCCTGCGTGATATATTTTAATTCTTATGGATTATTTTGAACGGTGTGGCTTAATATGTATCTTAAGGTTCATTGCGGTTTTTGGTACACAGAGAAAAATATAACCTGATTTTGAAGGCGATATTAAGTCAAATTTTGACTTTTCTTTATATTTTTAAATTTTTAAAGTTTTAAAAAAATAAGTTTGAATGTATCCTTTATGCCTAATATCGTGCCCATAAATGAATAATTAATTTTTCTCTGTGTAAATCTAACTCGGTGCTGTGTTGTTGTAATATAAACAATTAAATAAATAATTTATGGTTAACATTAGATCTCTTTTTTGGAATTGTTTTTTAGCTTTCTATTTATGTGGCCAAATGTCCTGCCGCCTTCTTTTCGCCGCATTCTGTTCGATGCGATTGTTTTGGCCCAGATATTGATGCAGGGGCAGTGGGCGTGGCGACGAGGAGGTCACGCCCAGGGGAAACTCACTGGTGGGTCTCCATTTGGAGGGCAGCCAAGGTGAATCGTAGTCCTGGAATTTCTGTGGCACTTGGTACTTTCCCTCCTCCTCCTGATATTTTGTCGGCAGACTGCCCTTTTGATCGTGATGGACCTTGAGATTCAGCAGTAGCTCGCCATCGTCATCGATGAGATTGTATAGCTGAACGCCCTTGGCCTCCCTCAGTGGATGGGCTCGCTCCAACCTGATTTGCTGCTTGACCTTTGGCCTCATCCAGGGCTTGGGTCGCTGGCCCATATATCGCGACGATCGATCCTGCGACTGCAATTGCCGCAGGATGTTCAGCGGCAGTAGTAAATCCGATTCGAAGGGCATAAAGCCGCTGGCCCGCACTTTAATGATGTTTCGCAGCAGCGGCTGATGGCCATAACCCAGGCCATCGACCAGGCCCAAAAGGCTCAGACACAACAGGCCGAAAGTGTGCATTTCAGCGGCAGTTGTTAGCTCATTTTACACGAGGATCACTTGGATATATAGTGTATAGTTTAAGCACTCAAATAAAAATATATAAACAAATTAGGTGTGTTATTGCGACGAGACTGGAGCTAAGAGCAGCGCGTTCTAGGCCCGTGCTGCACCAACTGAACGGACTTCAGAAAACACTATTCGGCCCAAGCTGATGCCAGCTGACTGCGCTCGTAAAAGCGAATTAATTAGAGAAAATACCGTACGGTACACGAACGCACAGTGGGCCAAAATATAAGTATACCTAAAAATAATATGATACTAAATAAAGAAATAATTATTTTGGAATGGGTATATTGTTTGATTATATAAAATCCTTGAGAACTTTTGAGATTATCTCGAATAAAGATCACAAAAATTTTAAAGTATAATTTAAGCCCTACAATAATTATTTAATATTATTTGTAAAACTTCTTTTAATTTATATGTATTAATTTTAAATATCCAGGAAATTTTAGAAATAATATTAAAAATTAAGTAATTTTAAAAAAACATGTTTATTTGAAATCTGAAAAAAAATTGTATTTGAAAGGGTCGGGCAAAGCCGACCACCATTCAAATAAGAAAAATATATTTTCAGCACCACTGTGCATGATAAATCCAACACTTTGAATTGAAAATAAAAACATAACTGGCCGGGCCTGGACGTTTATTGTTTGGGGGCCTGTTGTTGTGGCTCTTTCTTCCATTATTTTCTCTATTATGTTATGGGCAGCACAAATTTATTAAAACATCAAGTGAGTCAGTGAGTGAGTGTGAATGAATGTTGGCTTGTTGGCTGGTTGCCTTGTTAACTGATTTATGTCAGGTAAAGAAGAATGATTCTTTGAATGCCTTTTTTTGTGTGGATTGACATTAAACTGGTTCACCGAGAGTCGAGAGCCGAGAGTTGGGACATTACACTGCCCATTAAAACATAACCCGTCCACTCTCGCTGCCACTGGTGACCCAAACAAAAAAGGTAACACACATCTCCGGCTCATTAGCATTAAGACAAAAGACACCCGCATTGAAAAAAAGACAAATAAAAAAAATAAAGAGCTAACTCTCTATGCAGATTAGCAAGGTGGAAAAGCGTGGATAAGAATTTTCACTACGTTTCGCAGTTGACAAACGCTCCGCTGATCACTCTCACTGCTCCACATTTGCATATGCATATGGACAGTCCGGCTAAACACCGGTACAGTGCGTGTCATGGCTGTAAAAAATGAAAGCAGAAACCTTAAAGATTAATCTAATCTAATCTAATTTATCTGTAAATTAGGTGTTATTAAGATTATTTATTATTATTATTTATTATTATAGATATAAAGATATTTCCATGCCTAATACTATCTGTAAATACTTTAAGGATTTATTGATTTTATAAAAATATTTTTATCACAAACTATATTTTATCATATAAATTACTATTTGACTGATGATCTTTGAAATTACCAATTATTTCAAAACATGGGAAAATGTATAAAAATTAAGATAATACTTACTCTTTCGAAACGCACTGTACGCAATACAATCTCTGGAAAACGCATCTAACGGTAGCTAAAGCACAATCCCATCTGATTGACACATTGTTTTTATTCAACAACCATTTTTCCATAGCCGCATTATTTTTTTAAATTTCTTAGTTTTTTATTTCTCATAGACGTAGACTTTTTGCTTAGCCGCTAAAATTCAGAACAAATATAATTTGCGAAAAAAAAAGATATATATGCATAGGTATATAGTATATAGGTAAATATGAGGAGGGATATCTGTACAATTAGACTTAGACATAGAAGTAAAGCTAACTGACTAGAATTACGCTCAAATTTTTAAGTGGGTTTTAAGGCTTAGCTAAAAGGTATTAAAATTTCGATTTCCTTTTCCATATTCGTTTGTTAATCTTTGTTTTTTTTTTGTTCCATAATAAATATTTACATATACAAATACTGTTGCTCTAAATAATTAATTAGGATAGTATTAATTAAGATTTAGTCCAGGGTGATGTGAGGATTTGTGTAGGTGAAGCCGTGGAACTGCTTCTGGTCCATGGAGGCTAGTATCTCCTTATCGATGGGGGTGAGTCGCACCCGCTCCCTGGTAAAGACCCGGTCGAAATATTGCGTATCCAGGGGGTGTTTCTTTAAAAGGTATACACACTTAGTAATCAGTCCTAAGCTATATAACTATAAAAAACCTACCACTTGGGGCTTGAAGGGCGGTTCGATTTGCCGCTTTTCCAGTAATCCCCAGTCGATCGGGCGGAAGAATATATGATCAGCTATATCACCAGCTGGACTATATTGCGAGCCAATACGCTTCGTATAGTCCTTCTCCAGCAACTATTCGTAAAAGTTAAAATTAATATTATATTATATTTTATTAAAAATTCTTTTATCTTACCCCCTTGAGTATTCCGGTGGCCTCGGCGGATATATAGACTGGGAACCATGGAATTTCATTGCAAATGGACCAGAAGAGCTCGTCCTCATCGCAGCCACTGAATGGTGACTGTCCGATCAGCATTTCGTAGAGCAGCACACCGAACGACCACCAATCCACATTCTGATTGTACTTTTCACCCTAATTTAATGAAAATATTTTTTTAATTTAATAAAACTGCTAGGGTCCTCACAATTTGTAGAAATATCTAGATAATAAATTATGGAAAACATATTCTTGAACACCGAAAAAATATTGAAAATTATGAAAAAACCGTTGAGTGTATTAAGTATAATGTAAAAACCATTTTCTAAGCATCCCAAATAATGTTATATTGAATACTGAATAATATAAAAAACACGTTCTAAGCATGCGACTTTAATTATTATTTAAATAGCCTTAAAAATAATATATAAAATATTTAACTACCCCATTATTGCAGTTTTAAAATAAAATATCGTAAAGATAACTACCTTTATGATTTCGGGCGCCATATAATCGGGTGTGCCGCAAAAGCTATCGGCCGTCTTGTCCAAATAGATTTGCAATTTGCACATGCCAAAGTCGGCAATTCGCACATGTCCCTCGTAGTCCAGCAGGACATTATCCAGTTTGAGATCCCTGATGGAAAACAAAAATATGCTTTAAAATATAACAATTGATAAATCATAATGCTATACCTATAGATAATGCCCTTTTTGTGCAGGAACTTGAGGCCCGAGATTATTTCGGCTCCATAGAATCTGGCCCGCTCCTCGGAAAAGCGACCGCTCTCCTGGATGTGGAACATGAGATCACCGCCATTTAGATACTCCATCACAAAGAACAAGTGGCTCTGAATATAAAAGGAATATAAAGAACATTGTTTTAAGATCGAGAATGGGCGAGAGACTTATAGCGAGAGATTTGAATTCGAAATTGAGATTGAGAGATCGTCCCCCAAAGTCATAAATAATTAAAATACCTTCTAATCGGTGTCAATGCAAGACACCGATGCAGTTGCAGTTGCGTTTGCAGCAGCAGATGCAGATGCAAATTTCGGATTAAGAGAACAAACACAAGAAAAAAATACGGACGGACAGGCACCCTGATCTACATGATGTCCGATCGACGTCGTGTGCCCCAATCGATGGCCAGACCCCAGCGATCTAATTATAGCACGTTTTACCTTTCCTCTGGCTAAAAATAGCCAGCCGATCGATTGTTCTATATGATAAATATCGATCAAGAGAGCAGACACACCTTCGAGTGGTGACCCCCACCTGAGGATTGCCTCGCAGTGGAAACCGAAAGTGTGCAAAGAGCACATACAACACCTTGCCATTTTTGATCTGAATATTGTTATCTGGACATTATATATATTAAATAGATTATTAATAATTTTATGTTTAAATTAATTAAAATAGGCTGATTTCCTCTTCTACACCAACATTATAATTAAGAACTCATTTAATGAGTAAACTTTATTTTAGGGTCATTGACACATGGTGACCCTAATCAAGGTTTAAGTTTCTTTAACAAAAAATTGTTTTTTAAATAAAATTTAAATTTTATTAAAAAAAATAAATTATAAATTTTCCAGTCTTCGTTCCACATATTTATAAAAAAATATAAATGTAAATAAATTAAAATTATTTACTCTTAATTATTCATTTTAGAAAGATTGACATTTGTTTAAAAATATTTCATTAAATTCATCTTATCACAATATTATCAAAAAAGTTTTTACAAAATAAATAAAAATAAAGTACTTGAAAAATAAAATAAATTGATTTACATTTAAGATGTTTAAAGATAAAGCTTCGTCATTTAGCACCACTTAACAAAAAAACTATAAATAAACAAATTACTTTTGCGAAAACTTACCTCCGTTTGGAAGGTGCAAAACAGATGACACAGATAGGGATGTTTGGTGCCCAGCGCCAGGACCTTGCGTTCAATAAGCGTCGAGTCCACATCGTCGTCCTCCAGGACGACATCCTTCTTCAGGCACTTGATGGCATAGTAGTACGTGGTATCACGCAGCTCAGCCAGCAGAACCTGTCAAAGATTATTTATAATTATTATTCAGTATAGAAAATCAAAGAAAACAGATAGCAAAACTCACCTTGCCAAAACTTCCTTTGCCAAGAACGGCCAGAAAGTGGAAATCATCTACCGAATAATTCTTAAATCTAGGTATTACTGTTGCTGGCGCAGTGAAACGTCCGGATTTTTGGAATTGTGAATATGTATATGATGTTTCTGTGCGATCGAGACAGCAAGATATTTAAACAGGTGCAGAAAGAGAGAGAGAGAATAAAGTTATTAAATAAAGTTAAAGTTAGTTAAATGTATAGTACTAAAAAAAGTACATGGACTATGTTCGTTTGTGAGTAATTGCCGTTGGTCACTTGAGTGCAATTTGGGGCTACTAAATGTGGGGCTAATATCATTTAAATTCGGCATACCATCGTGTTCTTCGTTGGCCTCGATTTTATAGGCTGGATTCAAACTGGGCGGTGTACTGGGCGAGTCACGGGCTTCTCTGGCTCCTAATTGTTCGAGAATATTAGTCGGGTTTTTGCACAAAGATCTTATATATCTTCGATCTGTATTCATTTCTTTATTTTTTGGGGCTAATTTTGTTTGTAGAATTATAGTTTTTGTGAACTCTTAATTTTGTGAACAAATTTTATAAAAGTTTTTCTTAAATAAACATATGAGTAATTCTTGTGAAACGTATCGAGATTTTCTTCACGGTCTCAAAACGATGTCTCATTTTTATTACAATATTACACCATTTGAAGAGGTAAAAAAATCCACTTGACAGAAGCGAAGATATGCGATGCTTTTTTTTTGTACAATTAATTTATAATTTAAAATACGTGTGGTAAAAAAAATAAAAATACTCAAAAATTATTATTTTTGACAAGCTTTCAGAGGAAAATAGCATACATAATGGTTCCAAAAAAGATCCATTTTGTTTTTAAATATTTTTAAAAATCTTTCCCTCTTTTGACAGAACATTTTAAATACTTCTCAGATTATTTCTGGTCTCTTAAACATTTTTGAATATTATTTAACTATATTTATTAAAAATAAATGCCAGATAATATATATATTTTTTAGAATTTTTTAAAGATTTTTCTTGGGTAAAAAAAACTTTTGCCCGCACAATTTCCTGGTTTCCAGTCATACAATTAACACATCCTAAATTCTGTTCAAACAAAATCAGGCCCATAAATTCGAGGCACAAATTATGAATATTATTTGGCCTCCATCGTTCCCATTCCGACTGTGATTTGTGCATTTTGTCTGGTTTTTACCTCGCTTCACGTGGTTGAGTGCCTCGACGATGAGTTTCTGATTGACACCGCATAAATTGGCCGTGAGCCGCTCGCATTTCTTGTGACAATTCACGTCACATTCTGGTTCGCGTGTTTCGATTCGATTTTCGACGTATATTCGGTATATTCATTCGGATGTTGGCGAAAATGTGGACGTGGATGGGAAGCCCACGCATAGCGTCGCATTGGAGGGGAATTAATTGCAAACAAATTATTATTAAATTTCTGTTGCGGCAGACTGGGCGGGTTACCCAATCTTCTGTTGCGATTTATTGGCTGCACGCTTTTTTCGACTCGAGGAAAATGTTTCTTGATTGGAAATTTACTAGCAAATGTGCGCACCCATCAACTTATAGACTAATTAGAAATTGAAATTTGCAGTTGTGAAAGAGGATTGGTTTTAATTTCCTATCAATAATCGCCTTTATATGATAATTCAATTAATATAATATTGTTATTTATAACAATAAAATATTGGTACACCTTCTAATTAATAACCAATCCATATTAATTGAATTTTAAATTCCACCAAAATAATAACAGAATAAAAGGGAAATATTGAAACTAGTTTTCCTTCTTTAAATAATTTTAAATAATTTCTGAAAGAGTAACATAATAAAACGAACAATATTACATACACAAATACGGATATCACAATGTAAAAAAAATATCACAGAAAAATGTATTTAAAAAATGATTCTATCTCAGCTTTAGTTTTTAGAATTTGCTTTTAATTGTTACTCAAAAAAAAATAATTAAAAAATTAGCAGATGACAGACTGCAAAAATTTAAAACCTGATTTCACGGAATTAAGAAATTCAACTGTATCTTTGATTAAAACAGATATTGAAGATCATATACAAAGGTTTTCGAAAGAATGGGAAAAATAATACAAATTTGGCTGCTTCCACAATTTCAATAAAAATGTTAAAAAAAAAGCGGATTATGGTTCTCAGTGCAGCTAAATCGATTTAAAGACATGAATTTCCTCTGTTTTTTTTCGGGTAGGAGGTTCTGCTCGCATAAACAATGCGAGTTCGCCATTCTTTCTGCCCACTTTGATTGAATTTCCAACTAAATGAGGCGGATGCCCGGATATCACGTATACGCAGTGTGGCAGCGAGCAAATGAATTTTCGCGCGTTTTGAGGAAATTTTATATAATCTGTGATCTGTATTTGTACAAAGCCCATAACTGCGTTGTTTTCTATGGTTAAATCAACTGCAGGGGAATGTCTAAATACCATATAGTATCTCTGCAGATATATCTGAATATATGAATGTATATATGTATTTTATGCGAAAGCTTTCTCTCTGCTCAGACAGACACGACGATGACCTAAACAATTTGTTTTCATTTGTTGTTTTGGCTAAAAGTAAAATGCCAACTTGTCGATTCTTTTTCTTCTTCTCCTCTCTTTCTTTTCTTTTTTTGCGGCTTCTGGCAGCGGATCTCTAGCAAATTCTCGCACAAAAATCAAGGAAACGCCACCACGGAACAGTAAGCAACGATAAAATTCTCGGCGAAAAATTACATAAAACACGAATCGAGCGATAGAAATAGGAAGTCGATTTGCCATATTCACTATCGCACAGAGTGAGTAACAAAGCTAATAAATAAAACCATAAACAAACAGGAGACTGGTAAAATAGCACTTTTTTCTATAAATTTTAGGAAGGAAATGAAACTAGAAAATAGTAACTTATTGTACTTTAGGAAAATATAAATCCACTTGAAAAAACACTACATTAAAAAATCCAACTAAAGAAAACAGAAACAACCTCTACAGAATTTAAAACATAAAGAGAAAATCCCACTAATATGATAATAGAATACAAAATATGTTCTAAATAGATAAAAAATCTATGTAATAGTTTAAATCATGTTGTAATAGAAAATTCGACTTTTCCAAAAATACCATTAAAAATCAAACCAACGAATTCCACATAGCAACCCGAAAATATGAAACTTTTAGCATTTTCATGCCCTAATGGGAAAACTCACAATTTTTCTCCAGCTGCAGGTCGTTGAACCCGTTGCATTGTTCAGCGAAAATATAAATTTCAAGTACTTGCACTTCCTAGTTAACACTTTGAGTTCCGATGCATTACTATGCCATCGACTACCCGAGAATATGTTCTTATAGACGGGGCATCGTTTTCCCCGGATGATATACTAGCTATTGATCGTTATGACTTTGTTTATGTATTTTTCTTTTGTGTCTCTATTTTTCCCCAGAATTGTTTGCATGCCTGAGGCTGGCTGCTATCTATACCTTATGTCCTATATCTTATATCTCATATCTATACATCGGTGTTTTGTGTTTTTGTGAAAACGAAAGCATTCCGAAATGCCTGGCATAGACAGTAAGTCGAAAGCTCTTTTTTGATCCGGACACGTGCCGCACACTCAAGTAACCAGCGGAGGCAAAGGGGAAGGGGTATGATTTGATGTACACAGAAAGAAAAAAATACAGCAATAGGTAATTTTAATTTCTTTTCAAAGAAAATTAAAGAATATCCAAAATAAATATAAAATTTCTCTGAGAGCTTACTAAAAAGTTATATACTGAGATATTATTACTGAGTAAGTAGCTTTTTTAATTGTCAAAATAGATTTTTTCTTATAAATATAAATATGTAAAATTCTAATATAAAGCAATTAAATGATAAATATTTTAAAAAACTCAAAAAAAATTGTTTTTAAGACGTAAAGTTTTGTTGATTAAGTTTTTAGATTTTTTTTTTTTTAATATTGGAAATGTTATTTGAAATAAAAGTTTTAATATATTTTAAGTTTTGGAATAAAATGATTAATTTGATAAACCTGGTTCGAAATGTTTTGTAAAAATTTGTGCGTTTGTGAAATGAATAAAAATTTGTATATTTTCTATTTAAATTCTGACAAATACTTCAAATATGTTTCAAATTATTTTATAGAAATGAGAAAAACTGTATATTTTTATATTTGATAATTTAAGAGTGAAGATATTCCTTTTGATATGAAAAAGTATTTCCGATTGCTGTGATTGTTTTCCTCGGTGTATTTACTGAACTGCCCGCGGTTTTCGAGGTGATTTCGCAGGGGATCGGCTACCGGAATCCTTACCTAACATCTTCTTGGGACTGGAGGGCGCGGTGCCGCCTTCGAACCCGGAATCGTTGCTGCAGGTGCTCATCCGGATGATGGACGGCGAGCTGGAGGTGGAGGCGCCCCCTCCGCTGTTCACCCCCAGAGTTCCGGCCGAACTGGGTGAATCGACGACCGTTGTGGTGGTGGTTCCCGCCCCACCCTTGGCGGCGCCACCCACCTCGAGGTCCTCGGAACTGGCGCTGCTGCTCGAGGAGCTGCACTCCTCGTCGCCGCCGCTCTCGTCGTCGCTGTCCTCGTCCAGGGAGCCGCCGCTGCCCTCCTCGCTGCCGCTCTCATCGTCGGTGTTCTCATCCGAATAGACGATCTTCTCGCGCTTCCACAGGGGACGCGGCGTGGCCACCAGTGGATAGCGTGGCGCCTCCTCCTTCACATAACACTTGTTCGTCGTATCGATTTTGATCTTCTTGTGCGGATCGAAGCGCTTTCCTTCGGCGGCGGCGGCTTTCGCCTTCTGTTTCTTCTTCTCCTTGCGCTGCTTCTTCTTCATGCTGGCGCTTAAATTCGCACAACCGTCAACACTGGAATAATCGTCGCAACTGTTGCTGCTGCTGTCGTCGTCGTCGTCGTCGTCTTGGCTATTTTCCGCCGACGAGGGTATATAGTCCTCTAGCTCGGCATCAACGTCTCGCAGACACTGTGCCAAATTCGATACTGTTGCAAACTTTGATAAATTATTGCCGACGCCTTCGCCGCAGCTGTTGTTGCTGCTGCTGAGAGAGGCAGCAGCAGCAGCATCGGTGGGAGCAACACCAAGAGTACCAACAGCAACAGCAACATTAACAGCAGCAACACCAATTGTTATTGTTGTGGGCGTTGTGGTTGCATCGCCTGTTGCCGCCGGCGATGACGCATTTGTGGCCTGTTGCTGCTGCTGCTGCTCGTGCTGCTCGTGTTGCACTTGCAATTGCAATGTCTGTTGCTTGTTCGGCGATGTTTTGGCCGCCTTTGTGGGGGCCAAAGTTATAAATTGATCGGCATTGATTGGGGTCACATTGCTCTCAGACAAAGCTGTTACAGTTTCTGTTGCTGCTGTTGCTGTTGCTGCTGCCGCTGGCGCTGTTGCTGCTGGCGTTGCAGCTTTCTTTTTGCCAACATTTGTTTTGCCGGCACTTTTTGGCTTTGTCGTTTTCGGTGATTGCACCTTTGACTTGCCCGTTGGCTCAGCGGCTTCCGTCAATTTCGTTTTGGTTTCCGTTTGTGGCACCAATGTTGCTGCCGTCTCGAGCAGTTGCTGCTGCTGCTGCTGCTGTTGTTCCTTGTGCGTTGTTTTATTTATTTTCGTTTCGACTGCGGCTGCCGTTGCCTGTTGTTGTTCAGGTGACTTGGCCGGCTGCCCGCTATTTATTTTTGGCCCTGCTGTTTCGTTCAATTTTGATTTGCCTGTTGCTGCTGTTGATGTTGATGTTGCTGTTGGTGTTGCTGTTGTCATGGCTACGGCGTTGCCAGATTGCTTGCTCACCCCCTTGGGTGATATTGTTTTTCCTGCCTGAGCAACAGTTGTTGCTGGTGTTGTTGACTTGGCCTCATCTGCGGCTGGCTTAAGTTGTGGTGTCTTTTGTGGTGTTGCTGCCTTGATTTCTGTTGTTGCTGGTGTGTCAGTTTTTGTTTGTGCTGTTGCTGCTTTGATTTGTGATGTTGCTGGTGTGTCAACTTTTGATAGCGTTGTTGATTCAGCTGCCTTCGCTTGTGGTGTGGTTGGTGTAGTAACCTTGTTTGTTGGAGAATCTTTTGTGGGTGTTGCGACTTTTATTTGTGGTGTTGTTGGTGTAGCAATCTTTTTTGTTGGTGAATCTTTGGTGGGAGTTTCGACATTTACTTGTGGAGTTGTTGGTGTAACAGCCTTTTTTGTTTGTAAATCCTTTGTTTGTGGTGGTGTTGGTGAATCCTTGATTGGTGTTGCTGCCTTCGTTGTTGGTGATTCTTTCGTTGGTTTCTCCACTTTGATTTGTGGTGTTGAATCCTTTGTTGGTGTATCTGGTTTTGTTTGTGGTGTTGCTGCTATTCTTGTTGGTGTATCCGTTTTCAGTAGCACAGTCGCCTCTTCAGCTTTGGGTGATGTTTTCACTTTATTTTGTGGTGTTTTTGGTGATTCTTTTGTGGGTGTTGCAGCTGTCGTTTTGGCTGTCATTGTTGACTTGGCTTCCTCTGTTGTTATTAATTTTGGCAAGTCTTTCTTAGGCATTGTTGACTTGGATTTAATATCATCGGTTGTTGAAGCGTCTACTTCAGGTGTTGGTGTTATTATAGCCTTGGTTTTTGTTGGTATTTTGCTTGCTTCTGCTTTCTGTCCTTCCACTTGGTTGGTTCTCACAATCGTTGGAGTTAGTGGTATTGAAGATAGCTTTGGTATGGACGATTTACCAGCAGTTGTCACGTTCGAAGGTGTTGTCTTCAGCTCGATGAGAATTTCCGACTTGAGTTTCGGTGTCGTTGGTGTCTTCGTGGTTGGTGACTTGGGCACTTCTTCCTCCAGCAGCTGCTCCTGTCGCTCGTTGAAGACCTTCTTGCGATTGCTCATGTACAGCGTTTCCCGCGAACCGATTTGCGACCAAAAGTCCTCGCCGCTCTCGGATTTTTGTATAGCCTTGCGAATGGGTTTGGGTGTGGCCACGCCCTCGACCTTGGCCTCGGTTTTGGGCTGTGATTGCTGCTGATTCTGCTGTATGGCTGCCTCATCGAAGGTGAAAATTTGTGCCTCACTCACGTGCTGTTTCTGCTGCTTACTGGCCTTCTTCAAAGGCGATGTCTTGGTTGTTTTGGGCGCTGCCTTCATGAATCCTTCGGGCAGAGACGACGACGACGACTCGTCCTTTTCCTCCACCTGCCCATCCTCCTTGGGCACTGTCTTTTTCTTGGGCAACTTGAACACCTTGTGTATCTGATGATGCTCCTCCACCGTCTCCACATTCACGGTGAACTTTGGCTTGGGACTGGGACTCGGGGTGGAGCTCGAACCTGAACCGGAAATCGAAACCAAGGGCTGCACCAATAGGTTCTCCTCGTTCAACTCCAAGACACTGGGCATATGATGATCCACTGGCTGAGCCTGTGGTGCATTTTCCACCTCCACAATGGCGGTGATCTTGTGCCGCTGCTTCTTGCTCTTCTTCGATCGCCGCTTCGACCGCTCCTTGAGATCCTCATCGTTGGTGGTGGTGCTATCGTGACTGGACCGCCGCTCCAGGTGGATCAGCTGGAAGCTGCCCGAGTTCGATTTCTGCAGCTTGTTTAGGATTTCCTGCTCCTGTTCCTGGATAATCGAGGCCCGGCGTCGCAGCTCGCCGGCATTCAGATCATCATCGATCTTATCGGATGAAATATCCTCGCAAATGTCATGAAATGTGGGGCACTGCACGAGGCTCAGGCGGCGAATGGTCTCCTGCATTTCCTCGAGATCCGATTCCTCCTTTTCCAGGTCCTTATCCTTTTCCTCTTCCCTTTCGCCCGGAGAACTCTTTTGTTCCCGGCTCTCAGTCCTCTGAGCACTTTGTGGCCTAGTTAGTTCTTGGACTCTGGCCTGATTGAGACTGGGCGCCGCCTCCTCCTTCTCGTCTCGTATGTAGAATCGCTCACGTAGCAGCTCTCCTGGTGACTTTTTGTTGCTGGTGGTGGGAAAGGCGGCCAGTTCCTCGGCCAGTTTTTGGCGCCAACTCAAACTGGGCTCGGTGGCTGGGGGCAGATCCCTGAACTGATGTTCCACCACCAGCTGTGGCTCCTTTTTGGGACTCTCGGCACTGCGTTCCTTGCTGCGTCTGCGTATGGTGGAGAGTCGGACCACAGGGCGATTTCGTTTGATGGTGGATCTGCGATTGGATCTAGGATCTGTTTCCTTGGGGGCCTTGGGTTCCTCCTTCTTTTCCGCCTTCTCTTCCTCCTTCTCTTCCTCCTTCTCCTTCCGCTTAGCCACCACCTCCTCCTTGACTGTCGGCTCTTTTTCCGGGATAACCCTGCGATATCTGGAAGAACTCACATCGATATCGGCTGTATTTATAGCTATAGGTCTTGCCGGTATGTATCTACTACTGGCGCCGCTTGAGGAACTATAACTCGGGGCTGTACTGTACTTGGGTGAATTGATGCGGGTCAGGGGCATCAGGCTGCTGTGACCACTGTGCCTGCCCGTCTCCGTAATCGTAGTCAACTTGGGTTGGTATCTGGAACCCAAGCCATGGAGGGAGCTGCTCGCTGAGGAAGTGCCGCTCGAATAGCTACTCGGCGATCGCGGCGAACTGGGACTCAGAGGCACCATATAGCTGGCCGGATAGGAGCGATTGTAGCTGGACGTATAGCTCGATCCGGGGGAAGAGCCCGAGCCCAGGCCCAAGTTCAGGCCCAAACCGGAACTATAGTACGGCGAATACAGTTGGCTGCTGCCGCCACTGTAGTAATAGTTGGTCGAATCCGAATACAGCGGCATCTTGTTGCTGTAGTCACTCAAAAAAAAAAACACCCACACACACAAAAATAAAGAAAAACACACGAACCACTAAGACGTTCTGTTCGAAATTTTTGTTTGCTTATTTTCCGGCGCTTTTCCGCTGTTTTTAGCTCAGTTGTTTCCTTTCGGTTCGTTTAGGCTCTCATATTTTAATAGTAATTACGCTGCTCACGGATGGGATCGTACATAAATATCTTTATCTAAATGGCACATTTGGGTTTGACTATTAATAGATGTAAAAGACTAAAAAAACAATAGAGAATGCTAATAGACTAATAGATACCCTTTACTCAGCTAAAGATAGTGCGAGGGAGACGGAGATATGCATGCACTGCTTGAATTCCATTTGTTGCTCATAACTTTTTAACGAATGGTCCGATTTAAAAAATTTCTTCTACATTTTGGTAGGTATAAATAAACACAACAAAATTGCATTTATACTTTTCAAAAATCTTTAGTGATCCTGGGGTCGGAAACGCTTCCATCTACCTGTTACACACTTTCTCACGAATTCAATATACCCTTATACTCTACGAGTAACAGGTATAAAAACTAATGACAAAGATACAAATTATGAAAATTTAATAATAAGTTATTTACATTTACTAATAGTATTTAATGATAAGAAAAATTTAATTTGACCAATTAAAAATCTAAGCTACTTTATAAAAGTCGGGATAAAAGATGGATTGACATAAAAATGTAAAAATAAAATGAATTCGGAAATAAAAATAAATATATTTTCAAAGATCTATAAATAAAATAGCTAAGAATTAATGGAGTTTATAATTGGTAACCACTGTACTTCCCCATTTCGCACATTTGTCTATCGTTAATTAATTAAACCGATTTAATTGCCTAACTTTTCAATTTCAATTCCAATTCGATTTCCGGCCAAACCAACTCGATGTCAATAACTCAATTTAATTGCAATGGCTAATCCCACATTCAATTGGGCAAGATGATAAATTTAGACTGGGTGCTGAGGCAGAGATTCGGCCATAAATTCGGTGGCACTTCAGTTTATTCTTCACAGGTTAACGCTTGCTTGAAATATGTATTTTTGGGGCTGCCGTACATACTACATATTTGTATGTATGTATCTCGCCCTCCGACGCTGCCGCAGTTTAATTATACAATTTTTAGAGATTTCAAAACGGCTGTCATAATGTGCCAGCATTTGGCAATACCGAAGTCACATTAATTATAGCCTAATTGGCCAAAAGAGCAGTCCGATCGAAATTGCAGATTTCCGCATAATTTTTTTGGGAAATAAATATGGCAAATAAATATGATGGTATTTTTCAAGGATATATTTTGTTTGTTTGTTTAAAAAAAAAATTACAAAGGAATTATTTCTGATTGCTTAAATTGTAACTTTATGGATTTTAAATTTTGGTTAAATCCGAATCATCTTAAATTTGTTAGAAAATCAAAATGGAAATAAAAAAGATGTATAGTCATTTAAATTCCTGCGAAAAATGAAAGCTAATCAAATTGTTTATTCAAATTGATAAACAAATGGGGTTCCAGGCCAATTCTATGCTTCAACTGATATTAAAAATTTCTATTAGGCGTAGTTTTTTTTTTTAGAACGAAAAAAGAGTTCTTGAAATTGAACTGTCATTGGCTGAAGGTCAGCTGGAATCGATGATGGCTTTTCAATTATTCCAATGGTCTTTTCTCGCTCGATATATGTTTATTATTGGATTTCACCATTGCCCATTGCCCACATGTGCCATATAGAAATAGATATATAATCCGATGTAGGAGATAAATTTTTTCGCATGACGTAAGCGCTCACGAGTCGTTGTCTGCGATTTTCCTCAGCGATTTTAAACGCATAAATTGCTGACAGTTTTCTTTTTGTTTTGTTGTACCGTTTTATAATTATACTCGTTTTTTTATTAGCCACTTCAAACGCAAGGTGCGTGATTTCTTTTTTTTTCGTTGTATTTTCCTTTTAGTGTAATATTTTTTGGATTTTTTTTGTTATGGTTTTTACCGTCAGCGCGACAGGAGGAAAAAAAAGAAGGAGCTAAGTCGACGTGGCGAACGCATTAACGGAAACTACTGAAATGTGAAAGGCAGCGCAGAAAATTTTCAATTCCGATTCCTGAACTCACCAACACCAACACCAGCACACACGTCGATTTTCACGGGAAAATTCGAAGTCCGTCTGTGTGGAGAGAGAGGCTAACTTGGCAACACAGTATTGCTGTCTTTGTATCTGTATCTTGTATCTTGTGCCCTCTGCATCTGTATCCGTGTTGAGACAGAGGCCCAGATCACCATTTTGCCCACTACTCTTCTTCTTTCGATCATCTCTACGTATCTGCCAATTTCGAAATATGCCCCTCAGAATTTTCATCACACACACACGCCATAAATTTCACACGAAGGCGAGCGGTTTTTCGAATTTCGAAAAAGCATCAAAAACATTTTTGACGTGTGTTTGAAAATGCTGTTCGTCGTTTTTGCACAGCGAAAGTAAAAGCGAAAAACGAGAGAGAAAACGAGGAGCGAAAAACTAATATGCGAGAGAACAGAGAAAAGAGAGTCGGGCTGTCATAAAATATGCGGAACAATTAACTAAAATAAGTTTGCGAAACATAAAATATATCACACTTGCGTGTTACAATAAAGTAGGAATATTCACTAGAGAATAAATACAAAATTTCAGAACATAAGTTTTCCTGAGATATCACAGAAACTAGAGAATAGAAGTACGATTAATATATTTTCTCTTACAAAATCAAGAGTTAAAAAATTAAAAAATGTAAGTGCCGGAAAACCCAAATAAATTCAATTTCAAGCAACGGAAAAAAGAATTCAATTAGATGACACGATAGAAATAGACAAAAAAAGAGAACCCGAAAGTCCACAGACTCGCTGTCATAAAATGTGTGACCAATTAATTGTCACTAAAATGTATATAAGTCATAAATTAAACGAATTGGGCAAGTGTAATCAAACATCAAAGTGTTCATTTGTGCAATGAATAGCGAAATGTCTTTTTCAACTAGTTCTAGATCTCTGGATGAAAAAGAAACAGAAGAGATCATTTGTGAACATGTCGCCATAAAATGTGAGAACAAGTACTTAAAACTATTTTATAGAGATTTAGGCAAAAACATTTTATAAAAATATATAACTAAAGAAGTTCCTATGATTATTATGAAAAAAAAAACATAGAAAATTAAAATATATTTTCTAAGTATATTGAAAATCAAAGACTGCCAAAAATATCAGTTAAGTTTTTCGCCAACATGGACTTTTGGCAGCTGGCTAAAGGTCCTCCTGGGCGACTATCATCAATCTGCCTGTTGGTAGCACCTGCTATCAAGATGTTTGGCTAAATTTGTCCATCCCCTCGAAACGCGAGGAAATCGAAAACAAATGCCAGAAATGCCGCACGTAGGATGTATCTCACATGAGAGGTGCCCATAGCACTCGAAGTCGTACATGCGATGCTAATGGTGACGCTTTTCGGTTCCGCAAAGTACATTTATAGACTCGCGAGTAAGAGGAAGAGATGTGGAAAGCGCCAAACAACTAGAAATAGAACTGCAATATGCTCTTCTGTCTTCTTTTTTTTGGTTTTCTTTTTTTTTCTTGGTTTTTTTCAGCCTCAGTACTTAATCTTTGCGATTTATTGCAAACGAGGGGTGAGGAAATCGGCGGAATATATATATTTCTTTGCGATATTTTTGCAACTGCATTCCTGGCATGTCACTTGTAAAAGTGCTTAGCCATGGGATTACTCTATGCACTTAAAAAAACACATTATTTTTAATAGTGTTTGGATGATTGAAAATAGTCATTTGAGAACACATTTCGAACATTTTCGTTCACAAAATTAATTTTTACAAGTATTTAAATGCCAGTATTTTCTGTGATTATTAAAAACTTATTTTGAAATATACATATTTGTATATTTTTAGTAGATAACAAAATGCTCAATAAAGGCTTTGAAACATCGATATTATTTTACTGCCCAACTTTAATAATCACAGTTTTAAAGAGATTAATGGGTATATTACCCGTTGATCATGACATGATTTTTCTTGGCTGCGTTGATATTTTCGTCTTGTTCGGGACGCCATGTTCTTTTTCGCTTTTTCTTATGTCTTGTGTGCTGGCAAAGTCGCAATAAATTGATTTCTAATGCAGTCTAGCTATCTGTCTATCTATCTATTATACACACGTTGCGATTTCAGCTTAATCTGGCTTTCGCATTATTTCCGCTTTGATCGCATCGCACACAGCGAGTGAAAGTATTTTTTCCTTTGTTCGACAAATAAAAAGAGAGTAAATAATATTGCACAATGCACAAGCACACCCTCGTTTTGCTTGACAAAATTACGAGATCTTCTTTGCATATATCTTAAGTGGGTTTATTTTTGCTTGCACTTTCCAGCAGAACAGAGATTTTATGAAATTACAATTGGTTATGGGTATATGTGTATCACGCATACGCAGTGTTGTACCAATTTGCACAGGAAAATATATTTTATTCGGGGAATTTCGTTAAATGGGTCGCAATCATTAATTGCCATAATGAGACGTTTTCGAAACATTTACGAATCTGTAAAATTGTACTTTATTTCCTTCTTCTTGAGTTCAGAGAAAAAATCACAAAAAATGTTATTGTCTACTGCTACCTTTGAATTTATAAATATATACATTCTAACCTTTTCTTTCTTTCTTTGTTTACATCGATGTAAATATACATTCAATGCCGAGAAAAAAACCCAGTAAATAGCCGGGATTTACCATTATTATCATTGTTTTTACCCTTATATCTTTTTTGACCGTTACATTTTCTGATGAGAAGAAAAAGCACATCCCTCTGAGGTTGTTATAACCACTAAAAAGGGAAAGCTTCTTATAAAAAGCTTTGCGGTTTACCTCAAGCACAGATGGTGCCACCTGGCGAAAGCTCGAGAGAAAATTAGCCAATGCAAAAATCGCAACAGGATTAAGTAAGAAAATTAATGCTTTTAAAATAATAGCACTTCTTACTAAAAAAATTAATTAATTTAATATATTAGATTTAAAACACATAAATTAAAATATTTTTTGTGATTTAAATTACGTTCATAAAAAATCTGGAACTTTCATCGGATATTTTACTCAATCAGAAAATTAACATGATTTATTAAATAATCATTTTAGAAAGTGCTAATATTTTAGTTGCAATATTTTAAGGGACATATCATATAAAATGGATGCTAAAGAACTCACCTTCACATTTAAGGCCCTGAATAAAAAATCCCCCCATCAACGATCCGCAATGGTCACAAAAAGTGGGTGACATAAAAGTGTGGGGCTTGAAACGATGTGGCATATCGATCTTGAAACGTTCGCGCAGTAACTAAAAAAAGAAGAACAGAGGCTTAGAATTTATTTTCGTGGCTAAATAATTATTTGAAACGTACAATTGTACTGGCCGAGGTGAAAACGGAACCGGAACATTTGCCCAACAGCTTTTCATGGCACTTTTTATGCACAACCGTCTGGCAAACTGTAAAAAAGGTTTCGTTTTTTAATATTATAAGAGTTTTGAGATAGTTACTTGGACTTACTTATGCACTGATAGCCCTGCTTGCCAAATCCCCAAAGAAACAAATTACAAAAGGCACAAAAGGTGGGCTGGCGAAAGAATTTCGCCACAAAACGATGGCCATTGATGTCGTGGGTTCTGTTGAGCAAATGAAAAAATGTGAGATCCTTTACAAAGTCCAGCATAGAAATAATTAAATTCAATTGTTAATTATTTAAGTAGACTTGATTTTATAATAAAGTTAAAGATCTCTTAAAATTCCAGTACACAGTACAGTGCAGTACACAAGTATAAAATAAAAATCAAAATAATATAAATAGAATAAAAATACAAAAATAAATTTAGAAGATATAACTATTATAAATAAAAATAGTAATTAAGAAAATACGAAAATATGAGTTAAGTAATTAATATTTCATAAGAAAGTGAAATTTAAAAATAATAGTATGTTAAAAGTATGAATTCAATGTAGCGCTGGGATTTGAAAATAAAATTAAATAAATAACTTGAAACTAATTTCAAGATAATACAAATAATAGCTTATTTATTTGTTACATTTCTTCATTTAATTATATTACAGATATTACCAACTTTTATGTAAGAAAAATTATGCTGAAACTGCCAGTATAATTTACAAAATATTTAAATATATACCATTTTGTAAACTTAATATTAAAATATTCTTAGGATAAAAAATAATAAAATATTGTTCTTATTTTTCTTTTAGAGATTTTACAATTTAGACAATTTAATTATTGGCTAACTTTATCTAATTATAAACTCACTTCTGGTGCTTAATGGCCCCGCGACGATTGGTAATGCTCCTCGGGCGGGTTCTCCTGTCCACATAGACGCCGCCGCCAGTAACGCCACCACCGTTGCCACCAATGCCACTTCGATCGCCCCTTTCTGCACCGCCGGCACTACTCTCCCGATCCCGATCTCTGTCCCGATCCCGGTGATAGGCCTCCTCCTTGGAGTGCTGGCGCGGCAGCTCGAAGGAATGCTTTCCATAGTGATCCCTGTCCCGGTATTGATCCCTCCGGGCACCCGAGGTGCCGCTGCTGCCACTCAGACCACTGCCTGCTCCACTACTGCTGGTGGAGCTCTGCTTGTAGCGAGTCTAAAAAAACACACAATTTATAAACATTGTTAAAAAATATTGATAAAAAAAAATATAAAGTTGTATAAAATAGTCTTACTTTAATATAATTAAATTACATTTTTAAATTCATTTTATTGGTATTTTATTATTTTGTAAATAATTATAAATAATTAAATGGAAACATAGTACATATGTTTGTCCACGTGCTTTAATATTTAAAATTGTATTAAAACTAATTTAAAATTTGATTAGAAAGTTAAAAAATTCCATTTTTATACAATCTTTTGGTATGTTTATTACAACTGGAAAGATTTCAGTATAGTTGGCTACACATGTTAAACCATTTTACATTGAACTACCTAATTTATATTAAATACCTAAGCACACCTGCTATAAGGTAAATAAAATACCGAGAAAGC